TGTTTGCCGCCAACGAAATCTTGTTTTATTGGTAGTTCACTAGCCAGCCCGCCAACGCTAGCGGAGCAGCCAGCGAACAAACTATTGTTTTATTGGTAGTTCGTTGGTGAGCCCGCCAACGAAATTTTGTTTTATTGGTAGTTCACTGGCCAGCCCGCCAACGCTGGGGGAGCAGCCAGCGAACGGCGGGACAGATAGGCTTATGATTGGTCTGTATAAGGAGGCTAAATTTCCAAAAGCACAGGGATCGTTGTTTTGTGGCTGACTTGCCACAGACGGGTCGTTTCCCGCCCCCGTACCAACGGTCCAGACTACTCGGTTTCTCCTCGCCAACGCCGCATAGTAGCAGCTGCGCCGTGATGGCCTAGACTCCAGACAAGAGTGATATTGAGCCCGAAAATGAGCCTTTTGGACTTCCTTTTCCCATTAAGGACAGCTTTAACAGATATCACAGCGTGTTCGATGCTGCTGTTGTGTACTCGTCACCTAGGCTATTGTAGTACATGTGGGATGGTGGCTGCCACGCAAAACCCAATGACCAGAGGTGCGAAGTGCTACCAGGGGTTGGACTGTGTTGAGGGCATGGGAAACTTGTGTCGATCACCCGGGAGAGGACATCTCAATCCGTGGAAGGCGAGTGCGATATACATGTCCAGTTTGAGTCCATGCCATCCTCATGCAAGGGATCACTACCTTGATACTAATTGAGGCCGACTTTGCACTTCAATGCTTTTGACTATAAGAGATGCTTCACCGCTCGCTCGTTGTTTTGTTCGAATACAGGCTGCTCATCCACGTTGGTTCGCACTCGGATACACGCAAGGAGAAAATTTGCTGCCATCGTTTCATGCGAAGGGCGCGATTACTATTATCATACAAAGTGGGTTGACATATTATTCCTTTGCCATATGAGTGTTTCAATTTGAGTTTGAACCAACCTGCGCCGCGTACATTGGCAGTCTTCTTACTTGTTGTCTCTGCTGGGAGTCACTGACGTAGAAGCAGAACAATGCGCATGACAATCATCGCCCGAACTAAAAACTTTTCAGTCGAAGTTGAGCACACAGTCCAGCGGAGCACCGTTGCCAGCTTGCGGGGAGCACCTGTAAAATCCTCTAGTTTTGAGATCATGCCAACGGTACATGTCCTTCCTCCCCAGTATGTGGTAGCTTTCGCTAACAGAACCAGGCTTCGGCCCCTGTTCTCCAACTTCTAAAGCGTGGAGACAGCTACTTTGTCAGTGCAGGCACTGGCAAGTTACTCCCAGCCTCACTACCCGATCTTATGAGCTCGTGGGCGGGGGTTGCCATGGCGTTTGAGGCTGGCTATATCAGGGATGTAATGCGATACATCCGGTTGTACCCATTTAGTAATGGCCACCTGCATATCACTGGTGAAAAGACTGATTTTCCTTGCACTGTTACACTCTCTTTTTCCGGATCACATACCCACTCCATAACTATCCCGTCCGAAGCTCTGAATACGTGGCCTGGGCGGATCATACAGTGGGAAAACAAAAGACTATCTTCGGGGTGGGAGTGCACATGCGATTGGAAGATTGGTTCGGCTGTCATTATGAGCTTTGTGATTGGATTATGGACGGACATGTGGAGGTACATACATGAATGCTGCGATTGGTGTCGGCGTTGTATATAATTTCTCAGTTCCCCTGTACAGCCCTCCATCTCTCAGTGGCCAACCTGTCATTGTTTTAACCTTACCCGGCCGTGAGGTGTTGTATATAAATGGTAACTTACTTCTTGCCAATCTTTCGCCGTCCGCATCTCTCTTTCTACAGACTCTTCTATGTCTTGCACACCTGCAAACTGATAGACAACTCTCACTTTTTAAAATCTTGCTGTTGGTCGTCCTGTCATTACTCTACACCTCCCATTTTGAATATGCGCATCAGGCGTGACAGAATTCCATCCCCCCTCACCCTCCAGAACGAGACGCCGTTGCAATATCTTCCTTCGTGCAGGCTTCATTCTCTTGCATCGGCTAATAACGAAAAGGAATTGCTTTTCCCCGAGGATCAGGGCCCCGAATCTTTCTCGTACGATTTAATGGCTTCGATGGATGACCGTTCAAGGCACGAGAAACTCAAGGCCCGAGCTTGGAAGGATCGAATGGCATGGGAACGGTGGGGTGTACGGCCACAGGACGTAGTACGCTATCGCGTATCGTATTTCAAGAGTATCCTGCTTGCCGATGGGACCATTGAAATGGATGACAACGAGAAAGCGGATATTCCTGGATCCCGCCAGCGGTATTGCATTTTCGTCGGTTTCGAAATGAAACCTCGTGAAGGATTGATGGTGCTAAGATTCCTGGTTTCCAGTGAGGATGGGTTAAAGCCATGGACGAAACTCGCGCCGCATAATTACACCCTTCGGGACTTGGGCATTCGACTTGACGAGAGTAGTGGATCAACGTCACCCACCACGGAGTTTGAAGATGATTAGGGCTGTTTTTTGTTGGTCTTGTGGATCCTCGCAAAAAAAAAGTATGTTACTATTTTGGTAGGGGCAGCCAGTCCAATAAATTGTTTCAATATACTTTGTGTTTTTGATTTTTGATTTTTTGATTTCCTTGTAAGCCCTGTAGTAAGAGTTAGGCAGATTGGTATAAGAATGCTTGATTGCCCCAGCATGTCTGCCCTGGATTGTTCAACCAGAACCTTGCTACTACCGAAGTTCTTCCATTTCCGAGGCACGCGCATATAACGTCGTCAGCTTTATAAACTATCACAAGAAGATAGGTAAAGAATCCCTTACACACCACAATGCACATCTCGGGGTTTGCTCACGATAGTAATCCATCAGGTACCGCAATGGCAACGGACATATACATGTGATCTAGTGTATTTTGCCATGTTCCATAGCGCGAATCAATGTTTTTAAGTTTGTCAATAAAAATCCCAACTTATTGAAAGCGATCCCCAATCTCCGGTGACGGGCTGGTTAGGCTAAGATTCTTAATTTTCAGTAAGGATGGGCTAGGTTTTTCCAGTATTTTTTACCGAATTCTGATACCCAGTATCGGATCCACCTTGCAAGTCAGGCAATGATATTAAAAGAGCCGATTGTCCCAGTTTCCTCCATGCTACCCACCGTCTTCTTACGCTTCCTTGGAGACAAAGATCTCTTGTGCACCTTCCTAAGAAGATGTCGGGTTAGTTCGTCTATAATTTTCGTTGATGGGGTACGCTAACTTTTCCTATCAGATCAATGCTCACTGCGACTCCCACCAGGGAACCCACGCAAGCGGAAAAGCGAGGATAACCTTCATGGTCAGTTGAAAAAGGCTCCGCCGATGGACACGCCCCTATCCAATCCTGTCCAAGCAACATCCACCCAGAGTGAATCGGCTACTGAAGATACCCCCGCCGACGATGTCCTCAGCATCGAGAATATGGCCCAAATGGCATCGAACAGTGGGAGTATATTTGAGTCTCCCTGGGCCAAAAATGCAGCCAAGAAAGCAGTGGAGTGTATCATCTGTTGTTGGGCTGCTGATAGCAGCTTGATACCCCAGGAGGATATAGATCGCTGGTGCGATGAGTTCCCATTTCCTGAAATGACATTACTTTCTGTCCTTGCATGGCATTTTGGACCTGATAAATTTGGACAAGACGACCTCCGCTCATTCATATCTTCCTTTCCAAATGATGAGCTTAGGGATATTTGGAGCAGGAACAGATTTCGGCGGGACTGGAGTTTCAAGGCTTTCGAGGATTTTGAATATACGCTGCGCAATGCGAAGGTACGTGTAGGCCGAGTTGAAGATGAATAATGGGGCTAATTGAAGACAAGGAAAATATCAAACAGCATGCTTTTCAGCATCCTGCTTTTGCAGGAATAGCCGTACAAAGCCACGAAGTTCAGAAGGTGATTGAGTTGGATTTACAAGAATGGCTACAAGATTTTCATATGCTGTAAAAGGAAGAAGTCGGCCAATCATGGATGTAAATAATTCGCCCCTTTCTGCTTCTTGTTCACCATCTTCATTGACTCAATGTATTGTTGTTACTGGGTGTTATCTGGAGACGAGCTGAGGGCTATCATAAAGGGGTGGAACTGGAACCAATGTATCAAGCGGGATTGCGCCGCGGTCGCGAACCTTGGGGATATTAGATGCAGGTTGATCGCGTTCTAACTAGTTATAGAACAACACCTCTTATGTAATCTCTCTCTTCGGCCCGTGAAATTCCGAAGGCATGAGATAATCATGTGGTGAAGGCAGCCGCTACTTGTCCAGTGGAGTTACCCACTACCAAATTTTGTTTCTTACTGGTTCTTCCAACCGTTTCACCCCACACGAATGTTTGAAAACTAAAGACTTCACACTAATTTATTTATTTGTTACTTTCCTTTTTCCTGTTCCTGTCTTTTCTGCCTTTTCTCTACCTTTAGTTATTTATACCTCTCATGTCTGCTACCAAACAGTTGTATTTCCAAAGAAAGAATAAGATGGAAATGGAGCTGAAACAGTTGCGGCAGCTGACTGGCACTTTCTCCTGTTCAGCTCCCTTCCTGTGCGGAGCTTGAAGCGGGAATTTCAGGAAATTGATTCCACAAAATCAAACTGCACATGTTCAAGGTTATCAGACAATGATTATGATTTGGGATATGTTGATGGCCTCTATTTACTCTCCTCTATCTGATGCAAGCCCCTGTTCGATTTTCTTTTGTACCGTCCATGCGTCGTTTGTTCCTGGTTGATACTTTTGTTAAATCAAAGGAAAATGATTGGTTACTCAAAAATAGAACATCCTTGGCTTTGCGCGAAATATAGTTGCATCCGGAAAATTAGAAATTCCGGATGCTTACTGGTGAATTCTATTAACTTGTAAGAATCTTTGTTGAAAACCTAAGCTATTCATCTCTATATAGGGACAATTATGCTGCATATCAAACTAGACTAGCTGCTTGCAATGACAAAATCACACACTCTCAGTTCCCAGCAACACCACCACTCTTTATCAGGTCAATTGCAAGTCATTCTTCTCCCTGCTGTGACATGGCCTGTTGACATTCCTTGTCGCATTTGCTTCGGTAGGCCTGATGGAGCATGACGCTCTTGTTTATCTCGGCTTTAGTTGTGTCATCGACATCGTTGGAGGTTAAGAGTTTCTTGAGCACGGCTTCTGTTTCGTCCATGGTGCATTCTTTGTGTATTCTGGCATCCTCGACCTCGCTCTTAGTATCTTCAAGCATTTGATAGATGGCTTGAGCTCTGGTGATGTCGCTGTCGTCGCGGCCGGCATCGCATATTTCGTAGCACAATTGGTCTAGTGCATTTCCAAGGCACTTTTCAATCGACTTAAAGTGTTCCACGTCGTCTATCCTGTCGTTCATGGCTGTGATAAAACGTTCGGCTATGCCAGCCGGGGCAAGGATACGGCGGCTGTGGGTGATGGCTGCCATTGCTCTTGATTGTGGAAGCAGTTCGTAGCGTAGCAGGATGTCGGTTTCAATATCACCCTGTAGGGAAGGATCTTATGAGGAATTCTTGCTTTGAGGTATATCAAAATACAGACATTATGGGCTGCTTCTATCCTTTTATGTTTGCAGCTGAAACTGCGCATGCATGTAACAGGGCGCATGCGCATAACAAGGCAAACACTCAGGCGGGCCTAAATGACAATATCCCTCATGCAGTTACAAGAGCAACTTCCACCAGGCGGGTAACAAGTGTAAATAGCCAGCTTGCATTTGCACAAAGCAATGAGCTAGTAGTAGTTGTCAAAATTTAAGCCACGAACAGATTTCGTCAGAGCTGGAATTTCAAGACTTCTAAAGAATTCAGGTCTATGCTTCTCACTGTGAAGGTATGTGCAGGCCAGGTACGCGATGAATAGTTAGCTAATCGAAGAAAAGGAAAATATCAAACAACGGGCTTTTCAGCATCCTGCTTTCACTGAGATTGCGGCACAAAGCCACGGAGATTTACAAAAATGGATGGATGATTTTCATATGTTGTAAGAAGTCAGCCAATCGGAGATGTAAATAATTTGTGCTTCTAATTCCAGGGGCCCAGTCTGAGTTCCCCGGGCGGGAAGCAAATGCGGTCAAGGCAAGGCTGGCTTGCACTCTGGACCTTGTTGTGTCTTTCGCTAGACTCCATAAAGAGAGGCCTTGCACCCACCCTTCCCTCATCTCTTATTCTGTGCATACACCTTGCTAGCTGGCATGGAATCACAGAATCCAAAACAAACAACCAATCTCAACCATCTCCTCGGCCCCCGTTCCAAAAGACTTTTAAGCTGGTTTCTAGTTTTTACCCTTCCTTTTATCTTGCTTCACATTGCCTTCTGGGTTGTCCTCTGGATGATCGCAATAGTCGCAGTGTGGTTACCTGTCTTGTTGATCAAAATATTTCTTCAGTCACAAAGAGCAAAGAGAAATTGGGTTTGAACAAGAGCTGTTATATCCAAGTTCTCAAAGAAGTGGTTCTCAAAGAAGTGAAAGCCCAGAGACCACGACAGATATTCTCATCCCCAAAGAAACCAAAATGCCGCCAGTCATGCTAGCTGCAAGGGGAACAAGGGAGCCATTCAAAAATGCTGCCGGCCAGATATACTGTGATCACCCAGATTGTCACAAGAATATCCCATACTTCAAGAGACTCAATGAGTGGAAGTATGTACTGCCTTCTTTGTGCTACAGTTTCTATGTCTTTAGAAATCTATGTATTAACTATCTTTTAACAGCAAGCACATGGATAAACATGACTGTTCATACAAGTGCACAAACCCAGATTGTAATAAGAGACTAGAGTTTATCTTCTCAGATGGCCTGTGCTGTCATCAACATGATGTTCATCAAATGAACAGAAAGAGGAAAAAGTGAATGTGTCCTTATTCAGACTGTAATCACAGCTCAGGAGAAGGATTTACTAGAAAGGGAAATCTCAAGCTGCATCTCCGCCTTCATTGCAGTGAATCTCTTCATGCTGAAATTACTCAGCTTCAGTGGGAAGTTAAGGGAATAAATTCAAGACTGCATGAGATGGAAATGGAGCTGAAACAGTTGAGGCAGCTGACTGGAAAAGACACTCACTTCACACTTTCTTCTTCTGTTCAGCTTCCTTCTTGTGTGGAGCTTGAAGCAGGAATTTCAGGAAATTGATTTCACAAAATCAAACTGCACAGATTCAAGGTTATTGAATGATGATTATGATTTGAAATATGTTGACAGCCTGTATTTACTCTTCTCTATCTGATGCAAGGCCCTGTTTGATTTTCTGTTGTACATGTACATGCGTCGTTTGTTCGTGGTTGATATAAATCAAAGGAAATTGATTGATTATCCAGAAATAGAACATCCTTGCTTTGCGCCAATGAAGAAATAGTGTATCTGGAAAATTAGAATTTCTGGATGCTGAGTGATGAGTGATGAATTCTAACCCAGCTGTAAGATGCTATTCATTACACTTCCTTCAGACTGCAAAAGAGCTTGAACCTGAACTTTGACAGTCAAATCTAAATATGCTTATATGACCCGGGAAACTCTACTGTGCAGCGGAAGCTTGTTTCGTTGTATATCAGCTATCCATGCTTAGAGCAGTGTAATTTAAGTGGGACGGCTGGTGGACCAATCTGATGCAACTCTGTCAAGTAAATCAACATGTATGGTGGGAAGAGGGGCAACAGAACCGGTCTGGGCTCCCAACCAGGGTAACATTCGAGACCAGGATATACCAGTGGTTAGGTTGGTATGCTAATTTTATGTGATGAATGGGAAGCAAACACGGGAACAAAATGCAGAATTGTTAGGAAGTTATGATGTACGATACTTGCGAGAGAAGATAGCTCGCTGGGAACAGATGCTGGTATATATAATCAAAAGGAGGATTATGGTCAAAGGGTTGATTCCGGCTTGGCTCTGATGCAGAACATGAATGTGGGAATGAATAGAGCCACTGAGCAAGAACTGGGTGAAGATTAATCCTATTCAATCATGACAGAATGGTAATAAGCGCGAACAAAATAGGGGATTGAGAGAGGAAGGTCGACTATTCCTATTTAGGATTAAGGTACCACCCAACCCACAGATGTGGTAAGAGAGGGGAAAGAGCAATCGAATCGTGATTGGAAGATCCCGAAAGCTTAATATTTCTCCGAGGTCCCGAGTATCTGTTGGGCACAGCGGCCGGGCGTGCACGTGACATAATTCTACCTGCACATTACGCAGTACAAGAGAGCAACTATTATAGACTAAACTTTTAACAATGGTATACATCCGAGAATGGAATAACGATAGAGGGTGGGGATGAAATCCTTGCTTCTGATTTTGTTGGTTTATTTAGACGCCTCTTACAAGCTTACTTCATCTATAACTACTGTCAAGCATTGGCGCAGCTCATAATCCAAAATGCGACTGATGTGGACATCTAGAAAACTGTCCTCGACCTCATCACCACTGTCTGGCGAGTGACCCCCCCGGTGAGCATACCTCCCACATCCTTAGGCACGCCAATCAAATCCACTGGTGGAAAACCCCGGCCACTCTGTGAATGGAAACAACTCACAAAGATGCAAATCCCTTTATTAAGTGGCTTTCAGAAACTGATGGAAAATCCCAGCCACTCTATGAATGGAAACCCCCCTATTGCAAATCAGGCGGGTTTCTAGGTACTGATTCGAAGAAAAGCAAAAGGACAGAGCCATAGCTGTGGGAGGACTGGAATGTGATAGGCCATATCAATAGAGCTCCTAGGCCAGAATGAATATGACTTCCTTCGGGATAGTGCCTTACTGAAATCTAGCTTCTAATAACATTTGATGTGGCTGGGCTTTCCCCTTATCCGACTGTTTGAGGACTGTGTAGAAAAAACGAGAATTGGTCGTTCTTGGCGGCGGACTGAAAAAAAAAACATCCTCCTGCTGTGTGAGTGCGTCCTCCATTCGTGCGGAAGCAACCCGTCTCGGATTTAGGTGCAAAAGTAGAGGTAGGAATGATTCAAGCGGCCTTCAGCAACATCCATTTCCTAGAATCCGTAAGTAAGTCGGGTATATCTATAGTGACAGCTCCCAGGTAAGTGGGACCTACGAGTAGACACCCAAGGTCCTGCACAATCTGCACATCCTCCCGGAGCCATTCTTGCTGCTCAGCTGTTATGGTGTTATTGTTGTATGTCCTGGCCCGATCGAAATCCAGCAGTACCACCCTTTCTCCAGAAGTGACCATGAAATTTCTAGCTTTCAGATCATTATGCATGACCAGTGCAGCAGTAATAGCTTTGATGACCTGGACAAATTTAGTCATATGATCTTTGGAAAAGATGTCAAGATGCAATTGACGCATGTTGAGAATATATTCAATAAATATCGCACTTGGGAGCTCTGTGTCATTTATAAACACATTTAGATTTGGCTGCCAAAATTCAGGTTCAAGCTTTTCCATGCTTCTGTAGAATTGAGGCACATAGCCCTTTTCAGCCACGCCATGCACCTGAAGTCATCAGTAGGCAGTGGCTTCACATTCATGGATACGCCCATGTCCAGGGTCATGGTGCTATTTGCCGGCTCTTGGTCAGCTCTATTTGATATCATCTATCAAGATAGATAGTGCTCACCACTTTCATAACACATTCAAATCCCCGAACTGATACAAAGAAGACCGCGGCGGAGTCGTTGCAGTGCAGCTCCTGATGGAAAACCACATGCCGCGGACGAACGTTGTTGATTTTCATTATGTGTGGATGAGTGAGATGAATGGTGTATAAGGTCTGCTGCTTCTTTGTTGACGGTCAAAGGTTCTGAAGGATCTCTCAGTCAGTTCTCGTGGTAAGTTGCGTAGCTCCATTTTAAGAGTGCTTGTCCACCCGTTTGTACGGCGGACTATTCGCAACAGGAATGCAGAATCTAGGCAGAATCCAATGTCCCCCCAACACCAACATTTACCTTGTGATACCATTCGCGCCTTGCGTTGCTCCATCCATGCTTTGTTGCCTGCAACATGAAAAATATCCCTGTTCACCAAGGCCAAAAGCTACTTTGTGCTGGGGCTGACAAATCATCCCCAGTCGACGAAAAACGATCATTTTTATTTGGGGGTTTTGGAAGCCTAGGCATCGATGACCCAAATCCAGGAGTTGGTTCACATTTATTTGCATTTCAGGGTATTTGCGTGCAAGCCAGCGATTGGTTCCGCGCAATAAATACAACATAAAACCGCCCCTTACTCCGATATATTCTGATCATATGCTCCATTATGCAAACATTAGCCATGGGCTGACCACAGTAGCCTTGTCGCAGATGCGTTATTCGGTGGAAACGCATACTACTGCGTATGCCGTCTAGGGATATAGTTTTCAGTTGGATCATATATGGTAACACCAGGAGTGTACTTTTTTATCACTGCCCCATTTCTATTTAGAATTAACATTGGTGATATAAATTCTGTATGTATGTGAGGTAGGGTTGGCCGGGAACAACCTTACAATCATAACCATTTTCTCAGGCAGTGTACAACATTTGTTAATTAATCAAAATTTTGACCAAATCTCCTTAGACTATAGGATCGTTTTTTATAGCAGAATAGAAACGAAAGGAGAGGACAGAGGAGAGGTAGTAGGGGGTGATGGGGATGTTCTAATCATGATTCGCTTGCTACCCCTCGCCCTCCAACAGCTGGTTGACCAACAGTTGTTCGAAAGGTGATTTGCGGGCTTTGTCATTGGCTCATGTGGGGCCATGACTCCTACCGCTGCAACACAACGGGTTGGTTTCCAAGGTTAGCCTATACCTAAATGGGAATAGCCATTGTTCCTCCAAATACGATTTCAATCCCCTATTTTGTTCGCGCTTATTACCATTCCGTCGCGCTTGCTTAGCGGCTCTATCCGTTCCCACATTCGCGTTCTGCATCACAACCAAGCCGGGTCAACCCTTTGACCATAATCCTAAATATCAGCATCTGTTCCCAGCGAGCTATCTTCTCACATCATAACTTCCTAGCAATTCTGACATAAAGTAGCATACCAATTTAACTCCCTGATTAACCAACCCAACGGCCTTTTATGCCGTCAAAATGGCGGGACTTTCACAAGAAGATCGCAACATTATCAAGAACCATCCTCTAGCCAACTTAGTCGATCATTTACGAGGCACGCTTCAGCAAGCCGAAAGACAATATGAGAAAGATGGCGCTGATGAGAGCCAGGACCAGCTCTATCGAAATGCGATCTCAAAACTCCTCTCTGCTTTACAGGGAGAGGAAGCGGCGCTCAATATTCGCTCACGAATAAGCGACGGAAAGGTGGCTTCTGATCTAGCAATTCTGTTTATGAGCCTTCAACGGGCCAACTTCAGCTACAACCACTACAGGCAGCTGGTACATCTGGTCATCCAAAGGCTTCCCCCCACTGAGTCCCAGAACGTCGAAACCTGGAACTTCGACGTCTGGAACGCCGTCTTTGGTCTTATTGACACCGTCTCGCGAGGCACTCCCCACCCCCCCTACTCATCCTGCATCATCGATCTAACAGACGCCCTGGCTGCGCAACACTAGCAGTTTCGTCAATTCTACAGAATATTGAAAGCATGTTGACATTGTGCTGAAGGAGGAACTTGAGAAGATACACATCAACATCCCTAGATTCTTTGATGCATACTTTGAAGACATTTCACAACTCACTGCAGTTTCACAAGTGGTGTTGAAGGAGTGTAAGAAGGAAGACAGCTCACTTTACTATAAAGAAAAGAGCTGGAAGAACTGGTCTGAACTTGCAGTAGAAAGAGACATTCTGAGATGACTGACTAACATCATCACTAAGCTTGTACAATTAGCTGAAGTATAAGAGCTGTTCTGAAAGATTGACTGCAGATCTCTCACACAGCTAAGTCAGTCACTACAGAGATCTATTACAGAGAGAAAGCTTGATATCAGCTTTATTAATAATCTGACAGTTATAGAAGACTTCAGATGCTGCTAATCACAGATTCTGATATCAGAAGAGCTGAAGAATAATCTGAAATATAACAGAAAATCTGAGATATAATTTAATCTTAATAGATATTTCAGAGAGATTCTTTCTACACAGAATACTTATTATTTTATACTGAGATTCACTCTTTACAGATTATTTCTGTAACTATGAGACTTTAACTGTCTAAGTAGAATTATATCAGAGAAATTCAATATTAATCAGAATAGTCTTTAATTTATATCTATTATTCTTAAATTTCTTCTAATAAGCTGAAAGTAACTTAAGTTTAATTTCATAATTATTATAATCAGAACTGAATAGTATATTAAGATTAAGAAAAATAATAAAAAGAAACAGCTGATTATTAATAGAATTATTAGATAAGTATACTGTATCACTGAGTAAGTTATAATCTGCTGAAAGACACACTGTGAGACAGATAAATCACAGATACTATTAATTATTAAGAACTTTTAACAGTATCTGAAATACACTGAGAAAGAAGAGTTATTATAAGAAGTGATAATAAAGAGAGTTAAGAATATTACAAGATATTATTATTATAAGACTGTTTATATTAATGATAAGAATGATAATATCTTGACTATTTAAAAAAGTCTCAGTATTTCAATTTCAAAAGATAAGAAGAGTGGCTTTAAAATAATAGTATAGTATAGTAAATCTTAAAGAAGATTAAAGAGTCAGAGTAGTACTACTAGTTAAAAGTAATTCTCTAACTATATGAACACAGTATTTTCTTCTCTCTTAAGTAAATATACTCAGTCAAATTCATTACTATGTTATTATTCAGAATTATAGAAAATCAATTTATAAAAGTAGTTTAAAGACTATTCTTCTCACTAAGCTAGTTAGCTATATTAAAGAATATATATTACTTTATAACTTAACTAATCTTATTCAATATAATATTTCTCTCTAAAATCTAATAGTGAATAAAGATAAGAATAACTTATTATAATCTATTTTTCTGATTAATCTTAATCTGATAATCAGAGTATAATAGAATGCATCTTTCAGTACACAGAGTAAGACAGGCATCAGAGTGTTTATAGTTATCAGTATTTTATACAGTAAAAAGTATTATTTTATATATAATCTGAAGTTATTCTTCTGAGTTCTGTTCTGAATATGCATTCACTATAATAACTTAGAGAAGAGAAGAATTATTAAGTGTTTTAAGAGGTGAAATTATGTGAACACTGAAAAATTGACTGATAAGAAGAAAGAGATGATTAGTAATAAAAGTAACTTTCTCAGAATTTTACAGAATAATTTCATTTTATACTATTAATCTCTGATCTCTTGTGTTAATTAGTTACAGTACCTTGTCTTTTCAGATAGTAGATAATGAAAGAAATCAAATTTCAATCTATTCTGAAACATGATTGAAACACTTCAAGATACACAATATAACTCAGATACTGTAAACTAATAAAGATTCAGTATATTGATAGTATGAATTACTCTTTGTTTTATCATTTAATATAGCATGCCTTTGACTGACTTAGTATTATAATTTAAGTGACTCTTCTGTGACTGTGTTACAGACCTAGAATCTATAATTATTATATATATATATATATTGTCACAGCTGTTGAACTTCTTAGGTATCTAGAAATAACACTGAATCTCATGAATTGTGTTCTTTGTAAATTCAATTTCTAGCTGCACATCATGATCTTTTGATAATATAAATTATTCAACCATATTTTCCTTAGCTCGGGATCGTGATGATTTTATCGGAGAGTTCTGCCTTTGAGCGTTGATGAATGCCCTCATGAGGATGCCATCCTTGTCCCCGTATTGGAACATTTTCGTTTGGTGTAGTCGCGTCTGACGTGTGACGGGCAAACGTTGATCCGTGTTATTTTGGGCAAGATGACTGGCTTCTCTATGCCACTAAATTCCTCGTACCCATTTCGCTTTTTGATATAACTCTTTATCCCTCTCTAATGGCCGATAACAGTTCACCAGATTACGAGGCTCTCTACCGTAGAGCGGAAGCGGAACGAAGAGTTGAGAAGGCAGGCAGAAGAGCGAGAGGAAAAGGAAAAAGTGCGCAGCCAGCCGACAACACTCAAGGAGCTCATCAAGGGTTGTCATGATGAAAAGGGGACTTTGAGGGGTCTAAAATTTCGTGAGAAGTTTTTGATTCTTTTTTTCTTCCCCCAACGGGAATGGCGGGGTTGTTGTGACTGTGGATATTTTGATTGGCCAATATGGAGCGGTAATTTATGGCAGTATCATGTAGTCAGGTGATCTTATGCATTCAATATGCCATTTGACGAAGTCAGTCAGTCAGCAGTGAATGACGTAGTGGGCGGCCGTGCCGCCTGCATATTTTAGGTCTATGTATGACCACTAATTCTCCCTTTTCGTTCTTATTCATTTGTAGAGCAATATAATTAGCAATATAATTAGCGCTCTTATTACTATTATCGAACTCCTCTAACATGAGCCTGCCGGTCCATGTTCTCAGTTTTCGAAGGCGAATGTAGCCGTTTTGCTCACTGGAAGGCTGGACACTATTGCATATTGCAAGCATCGGGGTTACATTCCTCGGTGACTCTGGGACAATCATGGGCTTAATTGGAGCATCTTCTTCGAATGGTTTCGGAGAGGGCTTGGCATCGAATGATACTCGCAGCTCGCGGATCTTAAACCAAACCGAGACACATGGGCACCTTTTCCTTCGTTCTTGAGTTTTTCCTTTGTAGAAGGTTTTTCCTTTCGAAGAAGGT